ATAACCCCTGTAAAGGAACCCCACAGCCTTGCGCCAAGCTGTTGTACGAACGTGCCAGGTCGGTCTACCTCTCGCCGGTCTGACCTCCTACCAGGCAAGTTACGTTCTTGCCATACATCAGGTTAAGGAATATTGGGGAATCGAACGAACAAGATTAGGACGAAAAAGACCACGACAAAATGGCTATGCTGCCCCGAGGGGTTCCCATAAGTAGGCGCCCAACATAGACCCCACAAAACCACAATTCGTATTCTGGCAACCCCCAAAAGGTCTCGAGAAGCCGTTGCAAACAAATGGCTTTACTCCGAGGGTGTTCACAGTGATTATGCAGCCGGGATTGGATAGACACTGTCTGCCGTGATGCATGCTGGTGCTTAGCAGGGAATAGGGAATCTAACCCCGCCCTAGGACACATATTCCCGTATTCCCTACTAACCCCCAGTAAGGATGGGGGTTGTCAAAAGCCGAGCCCATGGCAAGTTGCGTTTGACATGTGCAAAGGCAATCCTATTAGTTTGGAAGATGAGGTACGCAGCCGAAGTCCTGTCCTTCAGGGTCGAAGGACCCCAAAAATAGGGCTTTATAGTGCCCAAATACCACTAATCTGATAGTAGTCGGGCCCTAAAACCCCATTATTCGGGTCCTTGAACCCTTAGGGTGTAAGATCACAATAATCGCAGCCTGAACAGCTTAGATCCTGCGCTCTTTAGGCCTGTGCTCATCATAACCCGTATCCTTGAATCCTAGCTCTGAACCCCAAGGCCCAAATGGGGGTTTCCCAAAATTAGGGGTACCTTTTTGGGGGTCTCCATTGTAAGGATTATAGTATTTTGGGGTCTATATTGGGGTCCCCCTATTTTGGGAAATTACCAAATCCTCAACTCCAAATACATAGCCCGAAGCCTAAAACCATAAACTTACTGGTGGTGCGTGGGAGAATAAGGGAAATATAAGTATATTCGCTTACTACTAAGCACCAGTAAGTAAACCCTAAACCCCAAATCCTAAACCCTGAATCCTATATCCTAAACCCTAAGCCCTAAGCCCTAACCCCTAAACCCTAAATCCTAAATCCTTCACCCTTAACCTGTCAAAGGCCCTCTTCACCGGAGCTGGCCGCGACTTTACTGGCGCTGAGCTGGGACAGGTGGCGGAGGGCGACCCATTCTGGATTACGGAGGTTGCTGTTAAGGAAAGCGGATTAGGGTTTAGGATTACTATATTCGAGGGAACCTTATGAATTACTATATACATATGTTTATATACACATATATATATAAGAACGAAATGCTATATAACCAACAAGGTAGCTTAATTTGAGTTCCTTAACGGCAACCCAGATGAAAGGTGTGCAAGTTTAGGGTTTTGAAAATGGCAAGTCTGGGAATCTGGGGTTTAGGGTTGGTTTAGGATTCAGGGTTGAGGGGTACACAGTTTAAGGTTTAGAGTTGTTGACCTACCCACAGGTGCTTAATTTGCTGAAGATCTTTATTTACTTTGGTATGTTTGGAGGGGGGGGTGGAGGGCGCTGTATTTCACTAGGGCTTTACGGAGAAGCTTGTGGGTTTCGTAATGACCGCTCTGTGCTTACCTTACATTAGGAAATCCCAGATGTTCCTCACCGCAAAAAACCGATGACCGTGCAAGGAAATCCTGGTTCCCATTTTTCTCGGGATTGCCCAAGGGGTTTGGCAGATAAGTTTAGCACATAAAGCCCTAAGCACTACATGTAGTATGTTGAAAACAGGTTCAGGGGGCAACGGCTTGGCTGCAGGACCTTCGGAGTAGCTTTCCCTCGTCTGCATGTTGGAGCTACCGAGTTCCACCCAAAATAAGCCTGAGGACAGGCGGTGCGTACTGCACAGACTATAGTCCCTCCAGTAGATAGAATATGGCTTTGGGTACATTTATACTGCGACCCCATATACCCTACATTCTATCTACTTAAGAGGGATCATACAGAGCGCCAGCAACTTCTTGAATGAAGTCAGGACTTGCGTATTGTGATATAGGACGTTTCGGTCAAAGCCCTCGCATGCTCTGAATTCCTCAATCGCACGTAAATTGGAGGACCCAGCAACGTTGTTTGCTTCTTCGAGCCCAAACTTGATACCTCTAACCTTGTTTCTAATTCGCAAGGCATAGACTCAGTATGCATCCTTCGTGGGCCTATAGACATAGGATTGGAACATGATATGCTTCGGCGGCATAAAAGTGGCCGAAATAAACCTGAACTGCCCTATAAGACAACACGATGATAGACCTCCGATGCTAATCATTTTGAGTAGTCCTAGAGCATCCTGAGCATGTGCTCATTAAGTCCGAAGCTTCCAGGTAAGAAAGTGCTGATCCTGGGTGGCGCTGCGGCGACCGGCGCTATTGCCATCCAGTTGCCTCGCCAAGTGCTACATCTCTTTTCATATGAAGGAGAATCATCAAAGTGCTACATTTATTCTCATGTGAGGGAGAATCATTTTCGGACCTCTAAGGTTGAGGGTTTTTGGGCTTGGGGTTTCGGCTTTTCAAGTTTAGGGCTTTAGTTTCGGCAGCGGGAAGCACGGAGGGCTATAACCAGGACATGTCCCGTAGAGCCCAGCGGCTACTTGAGATGTGGGATGCACTCACTGCACTCACTTGTGTTTTTTAAGCCGCTTTATTCACTTGGATTTTCAGGTGTGCATAGGTGGATTTGGGGTTGAGCGCTTGGAATTATGCTTCGGTCGGCCATATATTTGTGGCCATATTCTTGTCCGCCCCTTGATTGACGAGCAACAACCAGCAAGTTCGTGGGAACATGGAGCCGTTTCAGGTTTCAGGGTCAGGCTACTTCAGGATTCGGAGTGAGTTTTTGAAGCTATAAACCCCACACTCCAAACCTCTAAACCCCAAACCCTAGAAGTGTCAAGGTGCTACAAGATGAATTTGCGCCGTCGTTGCATACCGTAGATCCTGGAGTAGCAGTTCTGGGCAAATTATTACAAGCTCAAATGAAGGCACCTTTAGTTGTGGTTGCATCAGGTGTATACTCAAAAAGACTCCCTAAACCCCAAAAGTATGTAAAATAATAGCCCTAAACTCATAATAACAGCCATAAAGGCCATTATTTTACATACTTTTGGGGTCCAGGTCAGGGTGTTTAGAGTTTAGAGCTTACGGCTCAGTAGTTTGCTGAGAGGAGACAGCCTTGCAGCATATAGGACAGCTTGACGATTCAGGTGTTCAGGTCAACGTGTTGCGCATTGGTATTTGGGGGTTGCCAAGAATTGTGAGTCCTTTATGGGGGGGGTCCTATATAAGCAGAAGTATAGTTTTCAGTAGTTTTGGGATAAATACAGGGAGCTCCAGTATGGACCCGATATAATAAAATGCTTGTTATGGGAGCCCCAAAAAGGATTTAGGCTCTAGGGCCTGGGGTTTAGGGCTTAGGGTTTTGGGTTTTGGGTTTAGGGCTTAGCGTTTTGGGTTTCGGGTTCTAGGGCTTAGGGCGTAGGGTTTGGGGTGTAGAGTGGCAACTTCAGAGAGGCCCTCGGCTTCCAGGTCTTCTGCCCGTGCCTTGAAATGCAGCTGCGGGGTTGGTTTCCGTTGAACGGAAAAAGCCGCAAGTTTGCTTCTGTCAGACAAGCTTTCCAGGTTTAGGGTTTAGGGTTTAGGGTCAGTAGATGCTTGTGGACGGCGCTTCTGGGGGCCGCATTTCCGGTAGTAATTAGTTTAGATTGAAGCTTCGCCCGGCACCCGGAGCTCACAGCCCAAAACCCGAAGGATCCAAATAGCCCAATGTAGGTAAGATTTGCAGACTTTAGTGCCCAATGTGGGTGTTATTTGTATACTTCAATTCCTAGGCGAAACCCAAAGCCTAAACCCTAAGCCCTGAACCCTAAACCCTAAATCCTATCGGGGGGAACAAAGGCTCGGCAAGGCGGTCGGCGCGCATGTGGCAACCACGGCGACCTGACACGCATGATTAGGCGTTTGGGCTTAGGGCTTGTATAGGGTTTAAAATTTAGGGTCTTTGTGGTTTCTAGTGTTTCAGGCTGGGGGTAGAATACTTAATGGCTTTAAGCCCTTAAACCCTGGGCCATGATTATTATCATTAGGAATTTCCACAACAACCTCTTGCTTGGCCTAGTGGAGCAGACGAGCGTTCAGGAGCCAGTGCCGCGTGCTACTACTCTGAAGGGTCCCAGTGGTTTAGGGTTGAAGGCTTAGAGTTTAGTGTAGTCATCAGCCAACTTTCACCCCCCACCCCCGGCTCGCAGATTTTAAAAGATGGCTCAAGATTTCTGGGTGATGTATAGATTTTTCATTGCGGTGCCTCTGAACGCGCAGCTGCTTAAGATCTTCTCGGTTTTAAATAAATAAGTCGCTGCTTGAGGAATTATGATTAGAAATGGATTGTATTAAAACCTTTCTCCTTTTTAACATGAGCTCTTTAGTTTCAGGTTTGTTCAAACATTTTTCCTGGCTCGACCAGCGGGGTCGAACTGTTTACACACCCTCTTTAACTGGGGGTGAGGGTTCCAAGTTCGCTGGTAATTTCGGGTTAGGGCCCAAGTACGCAAACATATGGGCCTTAAAGGGGTTAAAGGGGCTTACAGGTACATACTGGGTTTACGGGTCCAACGGACCTATAAAGCCTTAGCATTTGGGGTACTCCAAGAATTGTCAGAAGCCTGATCGCCCAATCCCCATACGTTCCATATCCTTGAACCCTCAACCCTGAATAATTCAACCCGTATACAGCGAGAAGAGAAGCATGAACCGGGTGGGGGAGGGACTCTTTTTGAAGGATGTGCGGCCAACCTTCCTTCTGGGTATATATATATATATGTATGCAGATACCTATGTATTTATGTGTGTGTCTGTATATATTATGTCGTCTTTTAGAGAGGAACTTAAAAGGAATTCATGTCGACTTTCAGAAATTGTTTGGATTAGGGACTCCATAGAGGTGTTCTTTCCAGGAGCCCTTCCAACAACCAGACTAGGCGAGCCCCAACAAGATGCCTGACGGCACCAGCAAGATTGACTATATGAAGAAGCTGGGCGCTGACGAGGTCGGGGGTAGAACTGAGGGTTTCAAGGGTTTACGTAGGGTTGAGGAGGGCCTGCAGGTTTTTTCAGGAAATGGTGTAGGAAAAACATTGTTTGGCCGCCTTGACCCTCAGAACGCTAGGGCAAGTTGGCTTCTGATAGAATCCAAAAGCCGGCACTCCCCAATGTCCCGTCACTTCTCTCCGGCCGTCAAGTCGTCGGGCACACCGCTTAGGGGTGTGGCGGCCCCTATGCTATTGATTGGCATTGCACATCAGCGAAGTCTGCTGTTCTTTGTGAGGACTAGGAGGTCGCCCAAACACTCCTCCTCCTACATGTACCAAGTAGTACCCTTAATAGGGGATATATACAAAACACTTGTTAATTGGATATATATATATAAATGAAGATACATACATATATATATATGTATACATACAGATTGGGGTATATAGGGGAGTGGAAATGGTGGCTACTTCATTATTTAGTGTTCAGTGTTTAGGGACATAACCACAATAACGGAGAACCAAATAGAAGAACATGGTCAGTGACATGAAAGCTGGGATGATATAGGGGTTTATGTGCATGTGCCAAGATCCTCCCAGTAACACCCTTACTTGGGGATATCTGGCCGCGCATAGTGGGTAACTAAGGCTCCAATGGAGGGTAGGTGAAGGGTCTAGGTCTATCAAGGTGTTCTGGGTAGGCCCCTGGGATATTTAGTATTTTCCCTAATTGCTTTAATAGGGGACCCTATATATTAATATTTTTCAAAGGGTTTCAGGGGCCAACCCAGTGTTGTAGTGTATGAAGGAGAGCTTCTTTAGGAAAGCCCGGAACCGTAAGCTTTAACCGCTAAACCCTGGAGTGGCTTCCTAACTTGAAGAAAAGGTCCAACAAAAACACAGAAAAAAAAAGACTAAACCCTAGATATGCATGGGGAGCAAGACACGGTTTGGTTTACCCAATAATAAAAAATGGAAACACTAAACCCTAATTGATATGGTAGTTTCCGGTTTATTTTCCATTTTCCCTATATGTACACCCTATATAACCCCAAACAGTTTTCCAAAAGGCGATAATTCCAAGCATCCTTCGAAGCCCCGTTCAGGTTTGGAGTCCCTAGGATACGCCTGGATCTCCCAAACACCTATGATACGGCGGATACTAAAAGTCCTGCATGACCCTTGGGGATTATGGTACCGTCGTATAATAAGGTCATGCAGGATTTCTCGTATCAACGGTAATAGCCTATTTACTCATTATTTTGGGGTTGAAGACCAGCATTGTGAGAGGTCCCAATATGGAGAATATCTGGGTCATGCAGGGGCATATCCATGAATTGGCAGGTGATCAACTACAAGGAAGCCGACTGGGCCGATGCCCTGGCGGGCAAGGACCAACAACTCATTTGGAGGTTTATTGTTGGGCGCTGTTTTGGCCTTTCAAGTTTTGAGTTCGTTGCGTTTTGGCTTTAGGGTTTGGACGATTGGCTTTCTGCAGCGCAGACTGTGGCCAGATCGGCTGTCTTTTTGGGGTCTGATGATGGAGTGCATAACCAGCCAAAATTAAGGTAGTCGTGCGTGCCCGGGTGTTGATAACAATAGCCCTGCATGATCCAGAAGTATGGGTTTCTAATATCAGTGGTAGTCAAGTGAGTAGTATTTTATTTGCGGATACTATGGTACCCAATATAGAGTAAGATTCTATCCTCCTGTTGGAATATCGTATTCTGTTTAAA